GCGTCATGCATCTTTGGATGAAAAGCTTCAGTTGGTCATCATGGCATGGTCTGTTGTTGTTGATTGGTGCTTCTTCGTCTCGTTGTATGTCAACATGTGGTACCTGCAACTGCTTACCTTCCCTGAGATCAAACTTAACCTCAAGAAAAGTCTATCATGAATTAATATCTCCTACGATTTCTCAAATTTGCAAAATTTTTGAGAATCGAGGCACTGATTATACTTGAAATGACTGATATGTCTTATCTTATTAGACAGACTATCCTCGATCTTGACATGACTGGCCTAAATATTCACATAACTGAATAATCATGACTTGACTTTTACATGACTGAATCATCTTTACCTGAACTCTGAAAGCTATCCCGAGACAACTAACTAGTCGGCTCGGAATTTTGGAACATGACATTTACTGATTTACTTAACTTGATAAGGTACGACTTCAAGTTTCTAGGTAGAATTGGATTTATAGTCTGTATTGCAGACCTCCATATTTAACCCGGCTGAACAACTATTATACGTCGACCTTAAATCATGAACATTAACTTTAAATCTGGAATATTGACTCATGACTATGTACTGTATAGGGATGCTCCAGTATCAACTGGTCCCGCAAGTACAAAAGAAATAACTGATCTTGAACTTTGAAAACCATAATTTGGAATATCATGATTTGGAAAATTCGTAACATGACTGACTTGGAAGGTTGTTATTACATGAACTCATACTGTTTTGGTTCCAGCTTCAAGTCTCCATGGTATACCCGGCTGAGTGGCTCTTATTTCAAGCCTCCATGGTAACCCGAAATGTTGACTCTTATACACTGGAAACCGTTACTATGACAATGACTTGAGAATTATAACAACCTTAGCATGAAAATTTTCGCCTTGAACATGATTTACTGACCTGACTGAAGAAATTTGAGCTTACTCCCTGATCTAACTCAAGGAATTCTTTAGAATGTGCTAACTGGTTGGCAAAATGGGCAATCTTCGATAGAAAATGTCTGAGGAACATGATTGCTAAGATTTGTACAACATAAATGCTTACAAATCTCCTGACGAGTTGTTAACCTGACTTGAATAAATCTAGAATTGAATCTAGAGTTCTCAAACTTAACCCCTTTCTAAGGTTCTGAATTCTGATTCGAACATCCTTATTGATGACATCACTGAAGTTGATCAATAAAGCGCACAAATTTCTTGACGAGTCGCAAAACATGACTGGGGAATACTAAATCTAAATTCTGAGTATACTAACTACTGATCCTGAACATGATTCGAGCATCTTAACTAAATCATAACTGAGAAATTTCTGAGCATAGACATAGTAATTTTTTTATAACTGAAAACATAAATCAGCACTTACCTGTAGTCGGCGAGGCGTGAGCGTGACGGTTCAAGTTTTTTTGAAAATATCTGACTGATAAAATTTTTTAGAGACGCAGAAACGTGCTCTGATACCAATTGTAACACCCCGCTATTTTACTGAAATCAGAGTACGCTTTTTTGCAAATTTTCTGAATAAATTTAATAAAATGTTTCTTTTGATTTGCGAAAACTGATTCGGAGTGCTACCGTGAAAATCCGACTTAATCTGAAAAAACGTTAATTTTAAACTGAAAATAAAAACGGTTATCTAATGTATTAACTGACTAATGTCGGATCAAAAACTGAGTCAAAGTATTGAAAATGGTAGCGAAAAAGTAGCGTGGCCGAAACATAGTTTATACATAACAAACAAAACAAATGTCCTGAACAGCTCGCCAGCTCACTCCTCGTCCCCGACCCTGTGACCTGAAAAACATAAAATACGTGGGGGCGTGAGCACAAAAACACTGTGCTCCGCAGAAACTCATACTAAAGTAAACCAGTGAAAATAATAACAATATCATGATCCTGGTATATGCATAACCTGAACATGAAACCGGTAATAACATGAACATGAACCTGATATCCTCACGTGAACGTGAACCATGACAGTTACCTCATCTGCCAGCATAAAAATGCCGGACACCATGTGCACACTCTAGTGGGCAGACTAAGGCCACTAGAACCCAGAATGGACCGGCGACCATTCCGAGCGGATACTGATAATACATACCTCAAACATGATAGAGTAATTATAATCAATGTAGTACTTAGTCTGAGTCCCCACCTGAACTGCTGAAAATGAAGGTAGTGCTGATGCCTGATCAAACTGAAAAATAATATAAACAATTACTAAGGACTATGATCATACTGATAAATGAACTGATTAATTATGTTAAGATGCTCTACTCGACTTAACATGATATTCAGACTTAATCGGTATAACTGGAACCGGTTAAGTACAGAACTGAACTGATATTAATTTACTGGACTGAACTGGACCCGAAATTTTAACTGAAAATGATACTGAAATTAAGAACCGGGACTGAAACAATGAAATACGGACTGAACCGGTCCAGCC